GGGTGGGGTGGGGTGGGCGCTGTATGCATGGATGCTGCGTGCTGGGCAGGCCAGGAGGGTCCATTCATGAGGGTGCCCTTGCAGCTGGCGGCAAGCGGTTGCCAATGATGAACATGGCAGCTTGTTCCAAGGATGGGCTGACTCTCCACCATAGGTGCTGGGGTGGCAGCTGCTGCACCAAGCATTCCTTTCTTCACCGCCACGTTGCTGTACAGTATGTTGTCAGTACGTGCATGCTCTCTTCACTGTCGCGCTGCACACCCTTGACCAACCGCCGATCTGACATAGCAGCTCCGACTTATTACATGTACTCATGCAAAGTGGTGACATGTGTTGGATACGCAGCCGACCCACACAGCACGGACGGCGGGGCCGCCCCCTGCCGACGCCACGCGCCCGGAGCCTGCAGGCGCTGGAAGCCTGGTAGCCTTAGAATGCAAAACAGAGGGCGCCCCCTACACCAGCTCGACCAGCTTGTTCCCCAGCTCAGAGCACTTGACCAGGGTGGTGCCCTCCTTCCACAAGTCCTTGGTGCGCAGCCCCTGGTCAAGAGCCTGGTCAACCGCAGCCTCGAGGCGGTCAGCCACCTAGGCGTGCGCGCGTGGGTGATGGATGCGGTGGGTTTGCGTTGGCGGTGGCGTTGACCAAGGTTTGCGGATCCTGGAAGTGGGATGGGGGTTCTATGACGTGATAATGAGGTGCCCGGGTTTCTGAGGGGGGCAGAGGGCTCGTTGTGGGTCCGGCCTGCGAGCGTCAAGTGCGACTCTCCCGCCGCGCCGTCGAGCAGCTGCAACCGCGCCGCGCCGCCGTGCGCCCTGCACGCGCCGCCGCCCGCCGACGTACCGCACGCGCGCGGCGCGCCACGCCACGCCGCACCGCGCCCCCGCCCCGCCCGCCCACCTTCGGGATCTTGAGATCGTATCTGCACATCATCGCCGCCGACATCACCATGGCCATGGGGTTGGCCAGGTCCTGCCCCGCGATGTCCGGCGCGCTGCCGTGCACGGGCTCGAAGATGCCCGGCCCCGAGCCGCTGATAGAGGCGGAGGGCAGCATGCCCAAGCTGCCCGCGAGCATGGACGCCTCGTCGGACAGGATGTCGCCGAAGATGTTGCCGGTGACCACCACGTCAAAGTACTTGGGGTTGCGCAGCAGCTGCGGGGCAGGCGCCGGCCGGGGCGGGGCGGGGTTTTTCGGCGTGGCGCAGGGTCCCTGGCTAGCGAAAGGCAAGGCCCCCGGCGCCCGGCCGGCCTAAGGGGCCGCGCGAAGGGCTTGCCTTGAGCAGCGAGCGGACACCCGCATTCGGGGCGGCTGCCGGGCTGGGGAGGGGAGAAGTGGTTTGAAAGCGTTTTGGGAGTTTGGAGGGGTGCCCCTGGTCACCTGCATTGCGGCGTTGTCAATGTACATGTGTGAGAGCTCCACATCGGGGTAGTCCTTGGCTACGCGGATCACCACCTCCTTCCACAGCTGGCTGACCTGGGGTTGGCGGGGGTGGCGTGCGCGCGCGCGCGCGTGCGCACGTGTGTGTGTGTGTGTGTTGGGGAGTGACCACGGGGCAGGGGACGGGGCCAGGGGGTGTCATGCGACAGTCACATCACATTGGCAGGGCTGGGCGGCCCCGGTAAGATCAAGTTGATGAGTGCGCGCCTCAACGCTTCGCCGCGGCCGGTCCCTGCTTGTCGCGCCATTGCCACGGCCACCCCGGCCTGCAAACGCGACACGACACCTCGGAGGCGCCCCTTGTCTGCACCAGAACCCAGTAAAGGCACCATCATGCCAGCCGCCGTCACCTCCCAGCCCACCACCCTCCCGCATGCTGCCATTCTGCATGTGGTACTGCCAACCTGCACGCCGGCCCCCTTAAACTGCTGTGCGCCTGCAGTTGCTGCCACCCTGGCCGCTCTCATCCTGCACGCTGAGCAGCAAACAGCTACCTCCCTGCGCAAACCCCCAACCCCTCCGGGCCCCACCTCCAGCACGTTGCTCTTCTCCACGCTGCACAGCCGCTTCTGGCGCTTCTGCGCGGCCTCAAACGCGACGCGCGCGATGCGCTCCACCTCGGGCTCCGAGTAGACATCGGTGTTGAAGCCGATGCGGTCCCCCTTCTCGTTGGTGCCAAAGCCCTGGAGGGACAGGAGGCGTTGGATTGGAGACAACGTCAGAGTGTGCGAAAGCAATGGAGGGCCCTGGGATGGCGCTTGCCGCCGGGTTGTGTCGACGTGCTGCTGCTGCCGCTTGGAGCTGCTGCAGACCGCGGCGGAAAAGCTGCGGCAAATCACGGCGCAGCCCGCTGCCCGGGGCGGCCGTGCCGCCCGCCGGCACGCCGGCAAATCGCTGCGCGGGGCCCCCGGGCGCCCCTTGACGCTCGTTGCGGGGACCCAGGGAGCCTCCGCGCCCGGCTGCCCTCGCGCCTGCTGCTCCCGCCCCAGCTCACCCTGGGCTGCCCGAAGTAGATGCCGCCCACGAGCTCCCTCACAATGAGGATGTCCACGCCCTCCACGATCTCCTTCTTGAGGGGGCTGCTGTCCGCGAGCTGCGCGGTGGGGGCAAAAGTCGGCGAGGATGCGATTGGGTTACAGTGCAGGGGTCGCGTTCTTGCCTCACGCCTGCTGCGCGCAGTCACGCCATCGAAAAAGCGCTGGTTCAGGTGCTCCGATCGTCCCACAAGGGCTGCTAGTGAGATAGTGGGCTGCTGCTTGTGGCGCCACATAGGGAGGCGTGCGTGTCCGCATGTTTTTCCACACCTGCCGAGGCACGATCGCCGGCCGCAGGTTGGCGAACGCGTTGAGCCCCGCGCGCAGGCCCAGCAGGCCGCGCTCCGGCCGCTGCGCCGCAGGCAGGGTGTCCCACTTGTAGCTGCGGCGCGCGGGCGCGGGGCGCGGGGACGACGCGCGAGCGGGGGCGGCGGTTGTCGATGCCGGTTGCTGACGGCGTGCGCCAGCGGCGGCAGCTGCGGGTGGGTTCCCGCTGTCCCTGCGGCAGTGCTGCATCTATGCCGACCATAAGAGCGCGCACATATGCATCAACTGCATCCGCCAGTGCAGGATGGTGAGCGCTGCAGTACGGTTCGGTCGCGGCGGCTCACCCGCCGATGGCGGCCAGCAGCACCGAGTCGCTGGCCTTGCAGATGTCGAGCGTCTCCTCGGGCAACGGGTTGCCCGTGGCATCGATCGCAGCACCACCAATAAGTGCGTGCTTGAACTCGAATGTCTCCCCCTCCTTCCGGCCCGCTGCTGTCAGCACCTTGAGTGCGGCGTCCATGATCTCGGGGCCAATACCGTCACCAGGCAGCACTGCCACCTTGTGAGCCTTGCACATTGTCACGAGACGAGCATTGCGGCTCGCTGGGGCCGCACGGGAGGCCTTGACCCCGCGCAGCCGGGCACAGCCAGTTGCGAAGGCCATTTTTCCAGAAAACAACACAAATACCGCAGGCGCAATGATTAGGTCACAATTTGAAAGGAGCGTTCCATTAACAGACAATGGATTCTATGCCCTAGCCGGCACACCTGTCACCCATCATTGATATCTCTGCTTCAAATCTGATCGACTTGTTCGTGACCGTATGCCTGGATTGATAACAATTAGACTTTATAACTCCTGCATCGAGTGTGTGTTGCTCACCGTGGCCACCCGTTGCCATCGCGCTCTGCATGCCGCTGCACGCGCTGCGCTGCTGCGGTGGCGGCGCCTTGCTGCGGGCCCGCCTTCCACCATTGGGGTGGGGCGTGCATGTGGCCGCTGACGCCGAACATTTGCCCCCAGCGGATCTTATCAAGCGTCGGAGAAGGAGGAGCAGCGGCGGTGGCACGGCGCGCTGGTCGAGTAGTGGCACTGCTGGCTGCTGCTTTACTGGCGGCGCCGCGGCTGCCGCGTTCAATGGCGCCGCGGGCAGCCCCCCGGCGCTGTCAGCCTACGTGCACCTGCCCTTCTGCAAGCGCAAGTGCTTCTACTGCGATTTCCCAGTCGAGGCAGTCGGCGCCAACCCCGGCAAAGACCGTGAGCTCCGGCCCCGCACCTGGGGAGGCCCCATCAGCGGCGCCGTGCGCGCGGCTGCGGCGCCCGCAACGACCCCGCTCACGGCGATTACGATCGCCTACGAATCGAGGTGCCCGGCCACGAACCCCGACCCCCCCCTTGGCCCACGACCGACCCGGCACCCCGCCGCCTCCATGCGCATGCGCTTACCGGCAGGTGTGCAGCGGCGCATGGCGGATTACGTCGAGCTTCTGCTGTCGGAAATCGACGCCACCGCGGTGCTGAATGACCCAGATCGGCAGCCGCTGCAGACCGTTTACTTTGGCGGCGGGGTGAGCGGGGCGCAGGTGCAAGCCGGCTCTTTGGGTGATGTGGGGCACCTGCCAAGAGCCGAGTCGGCCCTGGCAGTGGGCGGCGCTGCCCGCGACATGCCGCCCTGCTTCCTGGCCTGTTGGTGCTCTTTGGCGAGCGCCGCTGTGGTCACTGCTGGCGCCCCTCGCAGCCCAGCACAGCCCTTTTCCGGCCGCGCCCGTCTTACAGCACCCCCCCCCCCCAAACAACAGGCAAATCGACCCTCCCTAAACCCCCCTCGCCCCTTCCCCACCCACCCCCTCAGACGCCCTCGCTCGTGCCCCCGCACCTGCTGGCCCGCATTCTCGACGCCCTCCGCCGCCGCTACGGCCTGGCCCGCGGCGCCGAGGTGTCGATCGAGGCCGACCCGGGGACGTTTGACGCGGGCCTGCTGGCGGAGTATAAACAGCTGGGGTTCACGCGGCTGAGCGTCGGGGTGCAGAGCTTCCAGGAGGTGTGCTTCTTGGGGGCAGCGGGCAGCAGGCGGAAAACCAGTGCGCGCTGTCGGGAGCGTGCGCGCTCGCGGGCGCGAGTGGGCTTCTGGATATACACAGCGGGATTTCCGCACGGCAGCTCAAGGGACAGCTCTCGCAGAGGCATGCGAAGTTAAAGGCGTGGGCGGTTTGGAACAGCACACGCTTTGGGGGGACGGGGGCTGGAGGCATGCGCGGGGTGCACATTGGGTGCGCGGCACCCGCCGTGCATGTTATCTTCAGATTGTCCGTAAATTCTAGAAGCGCTGCAGTGGGCGGCAAAGCAGCGTATGAGCGCAATGCCACTTGTTGCCTCCCTTGCCGCTGCCCCGCCCTCTTCTGTGGCGGCTGTCGGCCGTGGTCAGCCGTGGTATACCTGAGCCGTACACACGCACCAAGATGTCAATCGCCCGGAAACCGCCCCACCAAGCGCCCCCCCCCCCCTTGTGGCCACGTTTCGCAACCCACAGGATCTCCTGCAGACCTGCGGCCGCGCCCACACGCTCGCGGACGCCCGCGCCGCCCTCAAAGCCGTCGCCGCCGCCGGCTTCCAAACATGGTCGCTCGACCTCATGAGCGGCCTGCCCGGCCTCACGCGCGCCGGCTGGCGCGACACCCTCGCCGAGGCCGTTGCCGCGGGGGCGCCCCACATCAGCGTGTACGACCTCCAAGTCGAGGAGGGCACCCCGTTCGCGCGCCGCTACTCGCCGGGCGCGGCGCCGCTGCCTGCTGATGACGACGCTGCGGGCATGTACGCTGATGCAGCAGCGGCGCTGACATCAGCGGGGTACGAGCACTACGAGGTGAGCAGCTACGCGCTGCCCGGCCACCGCAGCCGCCACAACCAGGTGTACTGGAAGCTGCTGCCTTACTACGCGTTCGGCGTCGGCGCGGCGTCGTACCTTGCGGGGCGGCGGTACAGCAGACCGAAGGAGCTAGGGGCCTATGAGGAGTGGGCGCGCGGGTTTGCGGCGGCGGCGGCGGCAGCGGCGGCGGCGGCAGGGGCGGCGGGCGGCGCGGAGGCAGGGGGCTCTGGCGGAGGGGGCATCCCTGGGGCCGACCTCATGCCTGAGACCCAGGTGAGGGGCGTGCGGCGGCTTGATCTCATGTTTGTGAGCTAGATCGCCCACAGGGGACCTTCAATGAAACAACCCTGCCTTCTGCCCGTCGCTCCTCCACTTTGCCCTGCACGGCATCCCTGCGCCGACGAGCTGCGCGCTCGGACCGCCCCTCAAGGCGCGGCGGAGCGGCCCCAGCGGCGCCCCTGCCCGCCGCGCGCTCGCCCGGCCGCTCGTCCCGTGGCGCCTCTCCACCCGCTCGCGAGACTCTCTTCGTGTCCACATTGCGCGGCATGCACCTGCCCCACCTACCCCGCAGGAGGAGCGGCTGCTGGATAGCATTATGCTGGGCCTGCGGACTGCCGACGGGCTGGACCTGCGGCGGCTGGCCACCGATTACGGGCAGGAAGCTGCCAAGAAGGTGCTGCCCGTGCTGCGCCGTCACGAGTGCGAGGGGCTGGTGGAGCTCCGAGGGGCGCAAGGAGGGACTGCACTCGCGAGCAGCAGCGGGCGCGCGGCGGCGGCGGGAGGCGGAGGGGCGGTGGTGGGCGCGGCGGGCGCAGACGCGGTGGCAGTAGAGTGGGGGGATGTGGTGTCGGCGAGGCTGACGGACCCGGAGGGCTTTCTTCTTTCCAACATGATTATATCGGACATCTTTGCTGTGATGTGACAATTGTGATGCAGTCTAAGTGTGTCATTTTGTTACCTTGAATTGGTGAGGGGGCGGCGCGGCGGCCTCGGCCCCCGCAAGCCAGCCCCCTCTTCCTTAATTTACGCGGGCGTCACAGCCTGCGTAGTCTCTCTCTCTCTCTCTCTCTCTCTCTTACCTTGAAATTTGTATGAGTGCCCTTGGGCTGAGGCCCGGGTACTCTGATGGCGCACCATCCCTGGGCCCCACCTGGGCCAACACGCGAAATTGGTGGTTCTCGTGAGTAATGGGCAGGTGCGCGTTATGGTGTAGGTATGTGTGCCATGCAATCTCAGCACTCATGAGCATCTAGCAGGTGTTGACCGGAGTTGACCGCCTTTTAATTGTGCCCCTGCAAATGGCATGGTCCCTAGGCTCACAAAACTCACTTGATAGCTTGACTTGTAGTCTTGGTAGGCCCCCTGTATCTAGATTCTGACTGCATTCAAGGCGAGTGATTACAATGGGGGACGCCTGCTGGCAGATGCGCTCCGGCCTGTGTGCATGTCAGGCGCATTGCTGCTCACCATCGCTCATTGGCCTCACATATCCATGCTTATGTCTTGATCATTCTCTCACGGCTTGCGACCGCCTGTACGACGACCACTGTGCACTCTAGCTTTTGATCTGAGGACTTTGTATCTGACCAGCGCCAGCAACGTGTTCTTAAGCTATCCAACACATAGTAGCGCCTTCTTGTGGGCACAGCCCAGCGAGGGCTTGGTCGATCGATCGCCAAGCCCGATCAAACTGCTGCTGGCATGATGCTTACAGCACGCTGCATAGTAGACAGTATATTCAGACATGACACACGTAGCTTCAGCAGCAGCCATGCCACGGCCGATGCGCCGGCAAGCAGCAGTGGCCCGAGCGGTGCCGCGGCACCTGCGTCAGAAACGGCATCCGCGGCAGCAGGAGCGGCGCGCAGCCTGACACAGGCGCAGCAGTCCGAACTCGCCTCACTAGTGCTGTCGAGCTTCAAGCACGATGCATCGACGGCGGCCAGCGTGCTCAACAAATCGCTCGACGACGCTTCGCGGCGGGAGCTGCTCAAAGCGCTCGGCCGCACAAAGGAGCCGCCCCCGACGCTCGACAGGTGCTGCTCACTCTGCAGCGCAGCAATCTAGGGGTACCCGCCCTCTCGCGATTCGCGCCCGCTTTCGCGCGGCAAGCGCCGCTGCGCAGGGGCCGCCGCCTGCTGCCTGGGCCTCTCAGAGCGCCCTCCGGTGGTAAAAGCAAACCGTTGCACTCCCAACCCTGGGCGCCGGCACATAAAAACAGTGATACAAGCAGCGGCAAGCGTACCAGCGGGGCCCGCAATTGGTTGTGCAGCATCCGCTCGAGCGGCACGCCCCCCTCGCAACGCGCGCACCGCACCGCGCCCGCGCAGAGCCGCAGTCCTCGCACCCGACGACGACAGCGATGGCGAGGGCGCAGACACGGGGGCGCCCGGCGGCGGCAGCGGCGGCGCGGCGGAGGTGCCGCCGCTCACGACGCGGCAGCTGGTTTGGGTGGCGTTTACCAAAGGCATACCCTTCGTGGCCTTTGGATTCATGGACAACTTTATCATGGTGTGGGGGCCAGCTCGTTGCATTGTGCATCCTGCGCATCATTCTGTCTATTGCAAAACGTGCTTCAGCCAGCAGGGTGCCAATGTGCGGGTGGGGGTTGTGGGTGGCGTCAGCCAGGGCCGTTTGGATTGATGCGGCCAGTGCGGGGCCCCTCACAGATAGTCACCTGCAGCGCCGCCAGGCAGGACAGGTGCTTGCGACCGCTTGAACTGCTTGCGCTTTGAGGACCCCCTCTGGCAGCGGCTGATGCTGGCGCCACAAACGGCCCGCTGAGCCGCGCCGCCGGCCGCGGGCCCCACGCCCGCGTCCACCCCTACCCGCCCTTCCGCCTGGCACGCGCCCACCCACTTACATGTTGATCCATCACCCCTCACACCAGATCACGGCAGGGGAGCAGATTGATCTCATGTTTGGCGCCAAGCTGGGGCTGTCAAGTATGGCGGCCGCGGGGCTCGGCAACACGGTGGCGGACGTTGTCGGGATCCGCGTCAGCCATTCTATAGAGGTGACAGCAGTTTGAGTTTGAATGGGCGCGTGCCGCGGCGGCGCCTGGGGTCCAAGGGCGTGGGTGGCTGGGGCGGCACGGCGCTGGGGAGCGGCGGATGGCGTTGCAGGGGGAAGCTTGGGGGGCGCGAATGGGGTGCTGGCGCGTGTGTGCGCACGGCTGCAGCTGCGGGGCCGCGCCGGCGGACGGGCGGGGCCGCACCCAGGGCCTGACCTGCGTTGCACAACGAAGTAGCACCACCGAGCATGCGGCTGCCTCTGCCTACGGGACGGCTGCACAACATCTGCCCTTTCACAGTCCCCACCCGTTGCTCTGCACGGGCTGGCCGGCTGCTGTCTGCTATAAACCCCGCCCCGCCCGCAGCAAAAGACCAAGGGCTCTAAAACACTGGCATCCGGCCTGACCGCGGCGCAAAAGCGACTGCCATCGGTGCAACGTGAGCAACCCGCAGCGCCGTCGTGCACGCGGCCGGGGTGGTCGCTCGAGCGGACGCGGCGGCAGCGGTTGTGCCGTGCACCAGCCAGGCCATGGGGCCGTGCTGCTGGGATGGGACATGTTTTGTTGCGCCAGATGCATGTGCCATGCGCATGTCGGCACACGGCGCCTGCTCTCACTCCCGCCCACTTCTTCCCTCAACCTCGTTCTCCAATTTCCTGGCGCGCCCCCGCCTGGCCTGCATACCTCTCGTCTCCAGGCGCCAAGTGGGTCGGCTGCGTGGTGGGCATGATGACGGGCTGCCTGATCGGGATGGTGCCGCTGCTCTTCCTGGATACAGAGGTCAACCACGAAAAGGCACGGAAAAAGGAGGAGCGGGCGGCGGCCATCGAACCTGCGTGACGGGGCGGGTCGAGGCGCGCGTTCAGGCGCGGCGGCGCGCGGCATGGCGTGCGCGGCGCGGCTTGCATGAAGAGCGTGGGGTCCCTGTCGCCGCAGGGCGGTCGGCGTGTGCACATATCTGCACATTGTACCAATGTGTCGTCGTCCGGCGGCGGGGGCGGCGGTCAGCCGCAGGGCGTGCCATGACTTGTCCCAGGAGATGCCGAAAACACTTCAAGTTTTGCGAATCACCTGTCTTTCTCGCTTCCATTCTTGGAACGCCAACATGCGCGGCATGCTCATCCAAATAAGCTGGTGATGGTGGTAATGTGCACAAAGAAGTATGCAGAGGGGTTGCGGCAGGCGCGTCCGGAAATCGCCAGGCATGTGGGGCCGCTGACGTGTGTGGGGTGTGTGGGCGGTGCAACAAGGTGCACATGCGCAAACCATCATTCCACAAGTGGATGCATGGATCTTCACTCATTCACAGCATGCAACCGACGTAGCTCGGCTTGCCCCCGCCCCAGCGGGTGAGTTCATGATGACTGTGATCATGTGAGGGGCACAGCAAGAGACACTCATCAGGATAAGCAGCAAAACTCCAGCCCCGACCTCATTCCAGGACCCTGTAGACTTGTCACAGATACGACACACTATAGACCAGTACCATGCAATGACTGTCCAAGATCATGCTGTCCAGGGCGCACCGACACCCTTCCACGCCATGCAATCGATCTGTATACCTAGCTGTAGCTTGTCACAATCATAGTTGTGAAAGTGGCCATCCTGAGATCCAGCTTTTATTGCAAAGGATCGTTTAGGCATGAAGCTGGCACGACCTACAATTTATATCTTAGTTAGGTGACTCTCGATATCTGACAGCCTGATAGGCCCAGTGAGCTCGCTCCGCTTGTGCCACGGGGGCGCGTGGCACAACGGCGCAGCCTGCGCACTGCCGCCCGACCGCCCGCAGCGGCCATGTGCGCGCTGTACGTCAACACCAGCCGCGAGCGCGAGGGTGGCGGCTCCGCGCCCGAGGAGGCCAACATACGGGAGCTGGTGGAGAAGTGCGCCCACAACGATGACATCACCCCGCTGGTCCGCCTCATGTTTGAGGCGCAGGCGGTGCCCGACTCACCGCAATCCATTGACGGTGCGGGGCAGGCGTACTCGGGTGATGTCGCTTCTTGCGGAAGCTGCGTCCAGTGCTGCAGTCTGCTCTGTGACTGCAATTCAGCACACTCAGCAGCCGCCCTCCAGCTCTGCAAGTGCGCGCACACACGCACACACACGCGGCACGCACGCACGCGCGCGTACACACACACACACACACACACACAAACACACACACACACACGCGCACACACACGCACACACACGCACACACACTCACACACACATGTACCCAATCCCTCCAACACAAACATACACACGCACACACATGCACACATGCTCACCTGCAGCGGACGGCAAGCAGATGGTCTCCATCATCGGCTCCTGCCTCAAGGCCGTAGCCGCCGAGCAGCAGCGCGTCGTGGGCGATGTGGCGCGCGGCAACGCGATCGCGATCGCCACAACCGTGGGGGAGGTGGAGAAGCTCGGGGACGCGGTGCGGCAAGTGCGGGCCGCGCTGGTCGGCGGCAGCGGTGCAGTGCAGGTGGGCTTGGCTGCGTGATGGCCGTGCGCGGCAGGCGGGAGCGCGTGACGCCATGTGACGTCATGCGGCATTATGTGATGATTGATTGGTGGCTGCATCGAGGCGGACGTTGGCGGGGTTGGAAGAATGGGCGAAAGGACGCCGCGGCAAGCCGGGTCCGGGCCGGGGGCGCACGGCCGCGCGCGCTGACGCAAGATGCCCCGCGGCCGGGCCGCCCCCCCGCGCCCCGCAGGCGTCGGGCGGCGCGCTCGCCGCGCACGCGGGCCGCCTGGCCACGGCGGCGGAGGTGCGGGAGAACCTCGCGCGCGCCGCGCACGCGCTGGCCGCGGCGCGCGCGGTGCTGCGGCAGTGCCTGGCGGCGGGGCAGCTCGTGTCGCAGCAGCAGCTTTACCATGCCCTCTGCAGCCTGGACGTCATCCGTCAGAAGCACCTGGGTGCGAAGGGGCGGGGTGTTCATTTGATTTAGGTTTGGCAGCGCCCGCGGCGGTCACGACGGCGGCAGGGAGCAGCGGGGGTTGGGCAGCCTGCCGTGCGCGACCGCCGGCAGCTGCTCAGCGGGGCGGTTCGGCGCCGGGTGTGGCCGTCGGTGGGCCCCGATCGTTCGGTCCCGCGCGCAGCGCCCCACCGCACCGCCTGACGCTTGCGCATCCCTCCCAACCCCCGCGCCCGCCAGACTCCCTCCTGAGCATGCTCTCCGCGCCGGCCGCCGCGGACGCGGCCGCCCGGCGTGCCGCGGACGCGCCCGCGGCGCCGGGCCTGTCGCGGCGCGACCAGGCGCGGCTGAGCGAGCTGCACGCCTTCTTTAGCGCCTTGGTGGATGACTTGGGGGCTTCGGCGCGGCACCTCGCGGTCTCGGACTTCAACGACTGGCTGGTGGGCGGTTTGGGCGGGCGGCGACGGGTGGTTACAGGCGATTACAGATGGTGACGGGCGGTTGCCGGCGGTTTAAACAGGCGGTTGCGACCAGTTCGCACCTGTCGTTCGTTGTTTCAAAGCTGCTAAGCGTATCCTTGAGTTTGCTGCGGCACGGTAGCATAAAGCTGCCTCCGGCTGGGTGGCTCCACGCCTACTTGGTTTGCAACATGATGTCAGCGCCAGACGCCAGCAGCGCCCGCATAGTCCGTCCCCACGCAGCGGCCGCGACCGCGCCCCTCCGCCCCCATGTCAGGTCGCCGTCCGCGACGCCGCGCGGGGCGTCGGCACCGCTGCCATCCGCGCCGCCGCGGGGGAGCGGCGGCTGGAGGAGGACCTGGCGCGGGAGCGCCGGGCCGCGCTCGCGGCGCTCGCCGCCGCCGCCGGCGGCGCCACCGCGGCGGGGCCGTCGGGCGGCTGCACGGCGATCGGGCGGGAGCTGGCGCGGAGCGAGTTCCGGGAGGGGCTGCGGAGG